GAATACTTGCTTGATGACTGCCATCAGATTGCACAAGAACGTGGAAAGAACTCATCTTGACATGTTAGAAATATTACATCATTTAATAAAACGTGATGATTATTTGTTTGGCAGGCTTACAGGCTTGTGTTTTTCCTAAATGAAGTTACAATGTAAGCTCCCTGTGTGAAGTACTTGGCAGCATTTTCTCAAGAGACACAGGTCACTTTGGAAAGGAAGAGTTTGCTGCTCTATTGATTGAAGCTAGTTTTAGTACCTATCCAAATATGTGCAGTAGTGACGTGGACACGTACTGAATTTGTCAGGTTTGTGTTGAGTCTGTTGTCCCCACACCAGTTAGTCAAGAAGTGGAGCAGAGTAGGGGAAAGCCCTTTCCTCTCTTTCTATTTTTTTTTAAAGTAAGCTTCTGTTTTCTGTTTTTCTTCTATTTGTGTTATGTTGCCCTGTGTATAGCATTTTGGGCTGTCGTGGGGGTTTCTTGGAATGGCTTTGGCACTGGAAATCTCAACATCTGGAAATCTCTTCTGCCTTGGGACAAAACACAATACAGAAGGATGGGTGGGGTAGAAAAAAGCAACGAGTAGCCTCAGCCTCCAACTGTCTTCCCACATCCCCACTCCTTAGCAGCGTGCATCCAGAAAAAAAATAACTCTCTTCTGCATGGATGGACGAGCAGCTCCATGGAGGAAACTGGCCAATGGCATGCCAGCGTTCACAAAGGATTTATAAACTGTAACTTCTTGTTTTCTCTGCTTCAGTGAGCTGTCTTCGTTTTCTTCCTGTTCTTGAGGGATTGAACAACCCATGCACAGGAGCTTGCTAAAAGAGCAATTTCTGAACTTGCAAATATGGCAGCACCAGCTTCCTGCCTCCCTGCTGGTTCTCTCTTACTCTTTTAAGAACAATGAACTGTTGAATTCATTGTGGTCTACCTGTTCACCTCAGTCTAACTAAGCATACACCTCTTCTCTGTTTTTTGCTATTCATTATTTCATAGCTTTGCATACTGGAATTTTACCATCTTCCTGGGCCAGCATGGCTGGTTGGTTGAGCTTAGCTGAAGGTTAAGTAGCATCATCAAAGCCTTATAAGAAAAATATCTGCCAGTTTTTGACAAGAGGCCTGACTCTAGCAGCCTGTAGACCACCACCTCTTTGTAGTGTTTTGCTCTTTATTCAGGATGTGGATATTGAGAGGTCACTGGTCTTGGAGTGTCTTCTCACTGGTTGTTCTCCTCAACGCAGGGTCCTGTGGATTGGCAGTGACAGGCAGTGGGGTTTGGAAGGCTCTTCGACAGATGGTGATGTTGTTGAGAGAAGACATGTCCACACCTTTAGCACAGAGTGAGGTCATAGGAAAGAAGACTGTGCTCCTCCAGCCTCATGAATAATCGCACAAGATTCCTTTGACAAATAGGAGTGTGAGGAGTTTAATAGAAGAGCTGAAGTTCAGAGTGATGCTCATCTTGTGAATGAATGTATATGCCACGTGCAGATATTTGACTCTGCTGGTTGTAACTAGAATTTGTTCTGACTTCAAACACCTTTGCTGCTGTCTGTGATGGATGTAAACCTGCAGTTTGCCACACCTCTCCTTCCAGTAGGTTACCATGGGGAATAACAACTTCCTTTATCTTGACCAGTGTCTGGTTTTAGGTTCATCTGTGGACAGCTTCTTTCTTCAAGGCATTTGATGCTGCATGTGAGGGATTTTTGGGTATTTTGGTTTCTTTGCATTGCCGCAGCATTAGACTTTGCCTGATAAACCTCTGAATTTCTTCACCAAGAGAACAATTGGAAGAAAAAGAAAATCCATGTTTCAGAGTCATACAAGATAATGTTTCCCAAGCCAAGCTGCTTCTTTGTGTCTTGTAGATGTTGATTGTTTCTGCTGCCTCCTTTGTGGTGCTCTCCTTGGCCTTTGCCTCTGTGTAGGTTCTGCTGTACTCATAGGCCCTGCTATAGGCTGCACCTCCTGCCTCAGTCTCTGACTAATAAGTGATAAGTATGAGCCTTGTTTTACTGCCTGAGAGAGAAAAATCATGTTAATGTAGTAATAAAGTGATTAATTATATTGCTGGACATTCATAAGTCAAGAACATACTGCCCCTGCTTGTTGGAATCTTTTATCATCAAGTAGGGAAATAGTGTTTGGGGATTTTAGCTCATTCCTAAAGCAATCAAAGGAATGATGTTGTTTCTATTTTTGCGGATCTGAGCAAGCTCAGTTGTGGTTCTGTGTTCTTAGTGCATATTTCAGAATAATTTAAAAAACAATTAGAGATTCCAAATCCATTTTTCATAATTTCTGTAGATTTAATTATGAAACAATTGAACATGGGCTGTCCTATTTTATTCCTGTTCTTTTTTGAATTTAAAAAAAAAGCATTCTAAGGTGATACTGTGTAGGAAAAGGACTTGGCATTCATAATTAGTTCTCTTGCAGCTGGAAAATGCTGTGCAACATTTATCTCTACTGTAGCATTCCTGTATTTTTTCTCCAGATCAAAACCCACAAACTTTTGGTATGCTGTAATTTAGGAAAGGAATATCTGAATCACTTTTAAAATTGCTTTCAAGCTGAGGCAGAACATACTCATTGTGACTTTTTCTAAATAAAAGACATTTCACACTTAAAAGTTGCATTGTCTATTGTGTATTTGTTGTTTGCATTAAATAATGGTCACTGAGATGGCTCAAGGGGGCTGTTGAGATGAAGGCATTCTGCAGTCAAGGTTGGATGAAGTGATCATTTCACTTAGTTTCCTTTCATGCTTTGGATTAGTTGTGTGGTTTTGTTTATAGTAAAACAAAAAGGAAACTTTTCTCAGCGCTGACTTAAAACAGTCTAGTGGTTGTTCAAAATACAGTTGGTGTTTATTCCAATGTTGATGTATTTCTGGGGGTGGGGGAAGAGAAGGGAGCTTAGAATAATTCTGTTCACAGACTTCTCTGCCTTGGCAGATTCTTTTTCCCTTTTTATAAGACAGACAAATACTAGCCTTTCACTGAAAGAAGATACTGCATATGGATATAATTTATGTGTCTATAAATAGAATGGATATATTATGTCCATAATATGCTGTGAGATTTCCCTTGTAGTATGACCTTAGCATTCCAAAGCACTTATTTGCTTTTCAAACTTTATTGATACTTATTTTCAAATTCTGATGGAGTAGAAATAAATATTTCTATACTTGTATTTGTTTTTTTCCTGTGGTGTGTGGTTGGTTGGTTGTTTTTTTTTTCCCCCCTCTCTCCTCTGCTGACCATTTTCTTGGAGACTTCAAGCAATAGAGCACAATGTGTGTGTTTTGGCAAAGAGGATCTGGACACAAATCCCTAAACTTACAGATACTGAATCAAGTGAAGGCAAAAGATTGTTTTTGTGATACCAGTTTTTTCCTTCCTGGCATAGACGATGAGAACTACGTGGGGGTTTTGGTGATCTCCAAATGATTTGGGTTTCATGACTTCTAATAGCAGTAGTTTTCCAAATAATTCTAAAGGTAACGTTTCTGATGGTCTTTGAAATCATGGCATAAGATTGTGTTAGGGGTGTGGTAGGATTTGTGGTAGGGTGTGGGGTGGCTGCTTGGATTAGAATGATAGTTTATTACATGTTTTCAAATTTCGCATTAATATAGATGATCCAACAAGATCCTTGAATGCCAGTATTTTTTCTTTTGCCATAATAAATGTAAGAAGTTATGCAGCAAAGTGCAAATTCAGAGGTAGATTTCTTATCATAAGAGAAGTACTGATTACAGGTAGTTGTCTGAATGCTTCATATAATATCTGAAATTAACTGAGGGCTTCTTACTTGTGATAATAAGACTAGAAGAAATTATATAGAGCAGTTTTCAAGAAAATACTGATTTCATTTTAAAAATACTTTTTACATGCTTAAATGCTTGAAGGCAAATAAATGACTGTGCTTCCAACAGATCTGTAGTATTTCATTAGTACAGATGACGACGTTTGCCAAACCTGATCTGTTTCGGTCCCCTGTCAGTGGTGGTGCCAAGTGACTGTATGCAGTTATCTTTGCCCTGTGCTTCTTCACTTGGGAGAAGGGGAGAACTGGAGACAGATGATGTCCAGGCTCCGTGCAGCATGGGCCCACCACAGCTGAGCGTGGCCGTGGTGCAGAGCCAGCAGCAGCCATGGCCCTGCAGGCAGAGGGCAAGAGATCTGGTACAGCCCAGGGACAAAGGGTTGCCTGAGGAGGAGGTGGTAGCTTTTGACCTCAGTCTGCATAGGTTATAGCCTCTTTTGACTTTGTGGTGGCAAGCTCTTCTCAAGAATAAACTTCTGGGTGCTTACGTGGTGTTTGCTCAAAGGCTGTGGTTGTCAGTTTATTCTGAAAGGGTCTCAGTTCTAGGTTTGGTGCTTCTGTCACCACTGACCATCATTTAAATCTGCTGGATGCTGTGAGTGACACGTTATTACATTTTTGTGATGCGCAGATCCAAGTATCAGAATAACCACCTTTCAGTTCCATTGAATGCAGTTTATGCAGTATCCTAAAGGCTGAATAATGTCAATCCTTTCTCTCCAAAGCATAGTTTGCTATGTTACATTGCCAAATAACAACTTGCATTTGCAAGTTACCAGGACTTTCAAGCAATGGAGATGCAGTTGTTGACTTTTACCACATAGCTTTAGAAAATCGAAGACTGCTTAGATACAGCACAAATAAATGCTTCTATCACAGATTGAAGGGTTGAAAGTTGAGTAGAATTTGTAGTGGATTTAATGGAGTTAAATCAATGGTTTTTCAGAATGTTTGTTTCGTGGAGTAACAAATGAAAGGAATACACCAGAAACCCGTCTTAAATCTTCTTCCCTTTACTGTAAGCATTAGGAATTAGGTATTCGGGAAAATCATCATTAATGTTATTTGCCAGAAAATCCATGTAGGTTTTTTTTTTTTAATGTTAACTCATCACAGAGTGCTTATTTGGCTGTAATTACAGTGATGTGCTTTTCTTTTTCCCTAGGTGGCTCTTTTTAATGCGGTAGTGTAATTAGCTGGCTGAAGACTAAACATGAGAATAGCAGGTAAGTACACTCAGTAAAATCAGACTTCTGTCACTTCTGAAAACAGGGCTTAAAGACAGCAATAACAAGTTGTGAAATGAGGGTTTAAAATAAACTCAACTGGCATAATGGGCATTTCTGTTCCATTTAATTGATGTTTAATGAAACTGACCGTGGAATTTAGGATGATTTAAGAGCAGGCAGCATGTTAAAACAGTTGATCTGTGGGGACTGGTTAAGGTGCCATGACTTGACATACTTTGGCTGCTAATTCTGTAAGATTATGAAAGAATAAGGAAATGACCCATTGATGTCTTAAGTGATTTCTTCCCCGCCTCACACATCAATCAAAAATGCTCTGCACTATTATAATATGGTGTCTGAAGTGAGGGAAGTTTCCTGATTGCTTACTGGGAGCTTGAAATCTGTAAAAGCCTTTTCCAAGAGGTAAGTTACTGTTGTACAGAGTTTGAAAAACTGATTTTACTTGACAGAAGGTGTAGTGGTTGTAAAAATAAGATGCTTTGCCAATATAACACTACATTTCTGTTCCCTAGAACAGCCTGTGTAACAGTTGAAGAGTTTTGAGTTTCTGATGCATTGCACTTTCATCAGTAGTTGTAGTGTTGCAGAAGGAGCAACTGTTGGCACTTCTAGGACAGAATTAAACTACCTTTTCCAAGAGAGTTGCACATTAACCTTCTTAACGTGTTAAATTATTCCTGATTTTTGTTTCTGCTTTTGAAGGGTTTTTTTTTATTAACCTCAATTTGCATAACTCGGAGCAACCTGGCAAATTAAATCTGATAGAGAACTGGAAAATGCTGGAAAATTTTCAGAAGATGGCTAGATCACCTCAAAAATGACTTCTCCAAACCTCTTTTTTTTCCAGCTAGGTACTTGTGTTGCTAAAACCCATAGACAAAGAAGACATGGCAGTTCCTATAGAATGTTTAACCTGTAGCAAACAGGCTGGTTTTGGTTCAAGTGCTGAAAGAATTTTCTAGATTTCTTACTTCTCCCTTGGAAGGAGCAGTGGTAGTTGATCTGAAAGGCTCAGGAGGTAGAGTGGAGGAAATGGTTAGTGCTCAGACTGAGTTCTCATTCATCTCACCTAAAATCTGCTGAAAGAACATGCTCTCCAAGTGTCACATGCTAGATGACACATTCCAAAATCTGGTCATCTTAAGCAGTGTTGCTTTGAAAAACTTTTCTCCACTTCTTAACATATGTTCAGATCATCTGTTTTCTTTGGTGCCTACATGTGGTTCACTTCCCTTCAAGTCTAATAATCTTTGGAGTCCCAGCATTAATATTTTAAAATTAGGCTTGCATCCATGTTTTCTTAAATAATGTGTATGTGCTCACACACATAAAAAGGGAAGGTGGGAGGGGAAGACTAAATTCCAAGCAAGCAAAAATGTTGCATTTCTTTCTTCATCTTTCATTTCTTTTTCTCTCCCCTTTTTTTAGCCTTTTGGAAGGATTGCTTAACATGTCTTATCCATCTAAAGTCTGAGTAATCTGTCTATTTTAAGGTTTTCTGAACAGCCCTTCACAGCAGCAGTCTGAGATCTGCAGGAGTACATGTGTTTGCTTTTTTTCCTGAAGAATTTATTTCACTGGCAATCTAAGAAACTGAAGCATGCTCTAAGGTTGTTTCTTCCAAACAGTTTGACATACTGGGGTGAGACAGGAGCACAGAGTGTTGATCAGATGCCCCCTCACCTACCTTCTACTTTCAGTCAGTTGGTATTTTACAATAAGCTAAGAATGGAGTATTGTCCTGCCCTTTGGTCACACCAACCCCAGGCAATGCTACAGGCTTGGGGAGGAGTGGCTGGAAAGCTGCCTGGTGGAAAAGGATCTGGAGGTGTTGGTGGACAGTTGACTGAACAGGAGCCAGCAGTGTGCCCAGGTGGCCGAGAAGGCCAATGGCATCCTGGCTTGTGTCAAAAATAGTGTTCAGCCGGAGTAGGGAAGTGATTGTGCCCCTGGGCTCAAGCACTGGTGAGGCCACAGCTTGAGTACTGTGTTCAGTTTTGAGCACCACAGTATAAGAAGGATGTTGAGGTGCTGGAGAGGGTCCAGAGAAGGGCAGCAAAGCTGATGAAGGGTCTGGGGAACAGGTCTTAAAAGGAATGGCTGAGGGAACTGGAATTGTTTAGCTTGGAGAAGAGGAGGCTGAGGGGAGACCTCATTGCTCTCTACAACTACCTGAAGGAGGTTGTAGTGAAGTGGGTGTTGGTCTCTTCTCCCAGGCTCCTAGTGATAGGACAAGAGGAAATGGGCTCAAGTGCCAGGGGAGGTTTCTGTTGGATATTAGGAAGAATTTCTTTCCTGAAAGAATGGTGAGGCATTGGAACAGGCTGCCCTGGGAAGTGGTGGAGTCACCATCCCTGGGGGTGTTCAAAACATGTGTAGATGTGGCATCTGGGGACATGGTTTAGTGGTCATGGTAGTGTTGGGTAGTGGTTGGACTTGATGATCTTGGAAGTCTTTTCCAACCTTAATGGTACTATGATTCTGTAAAAATCTATTGAAAATTATGCGTAAAAATGGGTGGGATTCATGGCAGTACCACATACCTCTGGATTTCCATGCCAGGTGTAAAGTTGCTGCAGTTGTGTGCTTCCAGCTTTTCTCCCAGGAGGTAGTTTGACCACTCAGCACTGGAGAAAGTTAGGCTAGTAAAAATTCAACCTACCTGAGGCTTCAACATATTAAAAAGCATTACATCCTCTCCTTCCCTTTTATTACTTTATGAATTAGCTCTTTTGAGTCCTCCGGCTTGCTTTTTGAAAGTCAGTAATTTAAATTTGTTGAAAAGGAGGTGAAATTGCTTATGTTTGTTTTCTTCTTCGTTGCTTGGGTTTGGGGATTTTTTTGGGAATTAATGCTCAAATCTGACTGACCAAAGCAGCCAAGCTGCAGTACATGAACGGATCCCTAGTCACTCAGTCCTGGCCATACATTAAGATAGAAGTAATTCCCTTTGAGGAGTTGGAGGGAAATAAGAGGAGTATTTGTGAACTGTGAGGAAACAGGTAGACATGGCTAAGAACGGGGAAGTAGAATAGGGGGAGGTGGGAATTTCCCCTTTGGGCAGCAACCAGTTAGATCAGTTTAGTTTGTTGTTAAGCCAGATTTTCACGGAAAAGTCTGTGGTTTCTTCTGGCTGCTGATCTGAATTGGTGTACTGTGCTCTCGGGCAAGCATGAAGCCAGAGAAAGCTGTGGGTGAGGTATGTGTTTGGTGTAGCAACCTGATGGACTGGCTCAGCTGCATCCTACCTTCTAATGTCCATTTCTTGGAGATTACTTCTTTCAGTGAGTCCACAAATGATCATCCTGTTTCTGAGTTCCACTTAATGTAATCTGACATGCATTTCTCACATAGTTAATTTTGGTAAATTTAATGTTACTATTTGCAGATAAATTTTTTGAAACTTTTCTCTGCTTCTGAATAGGTGCTGCAAAGCTGGTAGTGGTCATAGCAATATTTTTATTCACATTTTATGTCATATCTCAAGTGTTCGAAATAAAAATGGATGCAAACTTAGGACACATATTTGGTAAGTGATGACTTTTTCTCCAGACATCTATTAATATTTACTTGAGTCATAATCCAAAATATTGTGTTCATTTTGCTTTAAGCTTGACCTAGGTTCTTACACTTAAGATTTTTTGTCTGTTTATTTTTAATGCGTGTACTTGTTTCTAAATATATTTTCATATGCAATGTGTGTATTAAGTTATTTTCTCTATAAAATATTTAACCTATTCTCTTAATCAGTTTCTTTTGCCTGCCAAGTATGCATGACTTTACCTGCTTTCTCTGTTTACTGGTACTTATAGCCTTAGTCTGGAGTTGTAAATTAGGAGACTTGAATCATGTTTCTCTAAATCTGCACTCAGACTTTCTGGTGCTTAAGCAATTGAAAATGTATTTTCATTTTTTTTTGCTTGTTTTGCTTCTGTAGTACACTGAAGGTACAATAATCAAAATATTTCAGATGTGTCCAGGTTCTACACAGAGAAGGATTAGTAGCTGAGGTGACTTGAAATTCAGAGTATGTTTTGAACCAATTATATTACACTTCATTACAAAAATCTTCAGTTTTAGGTACATGGGTAGGGTTCATGTTATGAACTCCAGATTACTACAGTGTGAGTTGACATCTGAACTAGTCACCAGAGGTGTCTTCAATAATTGTTCAAGAGACACAGTGTCATTAAGTATTACAGATGTGTTGCAGTGTGTGTGTGATGAGGTCACGTGTCTTTTCCTGTCCCAAGAAAGGGAGTCATGAATGGTTGGGTTCAAATACACCTGAGCTGCAGCCTTCAAGTGTTGGGTGAAAGGATCCCCGTTCTGGTAAAGCTGTAAGAAGAGAATCCTACTGCACTTTAGAGCCCACACTCCACAAATCCCTGGTGGTTTTTGTATCTCCATGGATCTTTGTGTCAATTGGAGAGTTGTAAATTAAGGCAGTGTTTCTAAATGTGGTTCCTGATCGCTTTATTTCTTCTACCATATAAAAGTTCATGTTTTTATTGGACCATAATGTTCAGATGTATTTGATACTTCATTTCAACCAGCCTGTTTTTATAAGGGCACAGAAAGGTTTTTAATTTCTAGGATATTTTATAACAGATGACATTTTAATAGTAACATCTTGTAAAACTTTCTTTTTGCATTTTAGCTAGATCAGCACTGGATGCAGCTGCACGCTGTGAGTATTAATATGCACGTGGTACTGCTGGGACTTGCTCTTGCTAATAACAGGAAGACTGTTGAATTTTCATAGTTAAGAAAGTCGTAATTACACTTTAAATGCAATCAGAAACTAATTTTCCTCTTTTCCTGATTTTCCTAAATTTCTGGTGAGGTCTGTTTCTTGCCAGCATTTCCCTTGTAGTTTGTTTTATGGCTTCTGATGACAGTGCCAGAGCAAGCAGTAGGGTGAGAACAAGGAATAGAGAAATGAGGTACTGCAGGAACCTACACTATTTTAAGTTGCTGTGAAAATGCAGATGAGATACCGTTTGTCTTTGCTCTTTTCCTTGGATTCCTTCAGAAAATTAATATTCCTCTCAGCCTACCTGTGATGGCATCTACAAAATTCTGTTTTATTTCCTGTTGACAGCTACAAAACCTCCAAGATATAAATGTGGGATCTCTAAAGCTTGTCCTGAAAAGCATTTTGCGTTCAAAATGGCAAGCGGAGCAGCAAATGTAGTTGGACCTAAAATCTGTGTGGAAGATAATGTGTAAGTATTTCTGTGTCGTCTCTTTCAAATGCTATTTTGGATCACTTTGCACACAAAATCTGTAGTTTAAATGATTCTTCATAGGTTTTGTTTTGCCAACAGTTTCACCACATGAAAAACTTCTATTGTGTTGTAACTTAATCTCTGATGAAGCACGTTTGGTACTCTGCAGTAAATGCAGAATGGTGTGCTATTTTAATACATGCACGACAGCTTACACTTCATTTCAGGTTTACAGACCTAAGGATTCGTTAGACTCTGTCAAGTCAGATGCAGACTTGCCTCCAAGTAGCTTGTTCTTGTGCCTCCAATAGTAATTCAGTGAACGACTGTGTTAAGTAGTTACTCTTGATGCTTTTAACTGAATGTCATCAGCTAAAACTATGCTGTGGAATTGTCTTTTGCAAGTTATGTTTTAAACTATCAAGTTTCATAGTACCAATGTCAGAACTTATTTTCCAATTTTTTTTAAAGGATGATTTAAGGAAGGGAAAAATAGTATTTTAGTGATCAGTAGTTTTTGTGCTGATAGTAATTAAAGTTAAAATAACTGTGAAATGAGGAAAGGAGCTGCTTGAGACACAGTTTGGTTTTGAGTTTGTCTTATATTTCTAATAACTATATTTTTAACACCGTATTATCAATAGTACCATGAATAGGAAATATAATATATATGATTTATTATAATATTTA